GTTCGCACTGTTTTGTGCATTGTATTGTTCGCGCTGTTCTGCGCATTGCACTGTTTTGTGCATTTCAAACCTCGGGGAGCTCGTCATACCACTCCCGTGCACCAGTATTCCCATACCCGCGAATGGTATGGGAACCCTCCTGCAAACAGACAATGACAATTGCAAGACAACATTCAAAATGCAGTTTTGAAAAGACAGATATGGCATGTATGCAAGTTTGTCAGATTCAGGCAAATACCGGGTACCGGTGTGCTTACAGTGAAATACGTGTGCTGTGTCAGCGTGTTTGGGTGTTTCAGAGCAGATATAGCATATGTGCAAATTTAACAGATTCAGACGAATACTGGGTACCAGTGTGTATGCAATGAAATACAGTGTGCGCCGTGTGTTTGGGTGATTCAGGGCTAGTGCAGTGTGTGTGCATGTGTCAGTCTCAAACAAATATCAGTTGTATGTATGTTTGCAGTCAACTACGGTCCATGGTGTATCAGATTTCAGCAGTTAAAGAGTACAACTAGCTACGGCAGTTTTGTATCCTACATTGCAGAAAGTAAAGCAGAAAGAAGAGAGTTACCTCGGAAGTGCCGAATGAAAGGTGGGAGGCAGGCTCACGCAGTAGTAGCTCAGGAGCCACATGCCTCTCGAAGCTCCGGAACTGACGCAGGCCGTCTGGGGGCAGAACATGGATCGCCGGCCGGTAGGTCGCCGGGTCGAACGGGCGCTCGCTCAGTGGTAGGAGCTCGACCCCGGGATCCATCTCGTGGTCCGGGGGAGTCCCGCCACGTGGAATGTCGTCCGCCATGTAGAGAGTGGTGTGAAAATAGCCCGAAAAAGGAAAATCGGGTCGGAATGCGAAGAGTCAACCAAAAAGTCAACTCCCGAGAGGGTCGGAAATGGCCGGGAAGGCCAGAATGTGAAAAAGCACAGAAATGAAGAGGAAAGTGAGGGGAACAAATCGGAAATGGCCGGGAAGGCCGGAATGTGAAAAGGCACAGGAATGAAGAGGAAAGTGGGGGGAACAAACCCCGAAAAGGTGAGAACGCCAAACGAAGCACCGAAACGAAAATGTGATCGGTGGAAAATGTCCGAAACGCGAAGAGAATCGCGAATCCGACGATGAAACGAGCGTAGAATGCGAAGAAACGGGCGAAAAATGAGAGAGAAGCACTCTAGAGAGAGAGAGCAAGGGATTTCGGCGGTAGGGAAGTGAGGAATAGGGTTTTGAAACCCTATTTTAAAACACCCAAGGTGAAAAGTCAAAACTGCCCCGCATCAGCAACTGTTTGCCGGTCGGCAATGTTTTGTGCCGGCCGGCACTGTTTTGTGCCGATGGACTTATTTTGATGCCGGCGGCCAGCCGGTGGCCTCCCCTTCCGGCCGGTGGTGTTCCCACAACCTTGTTCAGGCCATGTGAGTAATGTGTGGTCTTCATAGCTCAAGAAAGTGCATCTCCGATGCTCAACCGGCCTCCGTTTTGACCTCAGGTCGTGTCTCCTGTGCGTGGCACTCCAATTCGTACAAGGTGTATCCTTTTCGTATCCTTTTGACTTTTTACAAGATCCAAAAGTTGCCCCATGCATTTCGAATCAATCGCACTGTTTTGTGCATTTCAAAATTGTTCGCGCTGTTCTGCGCATTGCACTGTTTTGTGCACCTCGCTTGCATCTTGCATGTATCCTCTCGCGTTATCTTGCGCATCATGCTTGTACTTGTTAGTACATTGCATTGTTTTGAACACAAACCGGCTTCGCGTAGCGTATAAGTCCAACTTTCAAATCCGGCTTCGCGTAGCGTGTAAGTCCAACTTTCAAAACCGGCTTCGCGTAGCGTATAAGTCCAACTTTCAAAACCGACTTCGTGTAGCGTATAAGTCCAACTTCCAAAACCAGCTTCGCGTAGCGTATAAGTCCAACTTTCAAAACCGGCTTCGCGTAGCGTGTAAGTCCACTTGTATCATTTTTGCATCTTATGAGACACACGTTTCTCATTTGTTTCATTTTGCATTCCGCGTGGCATGTGTGTCACACTTACATTTTGCGCATGGTCTGGCGAGACCTTAAACACGTACGGTCTAGGAGACCTTAAATCCTTGGAAGGTGCAAGACCTTTAATGCATTGGTGTGCGCACTATTGCTTTGTACATGTCTTAAGCTGCGTGTTGTCGCGCATTCCATGCAACATGCATCACTTGCATCATTTTCATTTCAAAAAACAAAAACAAAAACAAAAAAAACATGCATAGTCATGCATACCCATTGTAGCTTGCATGCATTCATTTCATTTTCCCCAATAGATCGCATCATATTGCATTGTCATGCATTTGCATTGTAGCCTGCATGCATTCATTGCATCGCCTTCCACCTATGGCTTGCGCCTTTCGGATGGTGGAAACTAGAGTTCGAATGGCTTATGCCTAGAACGCAAAGGTTCGAGAGTTCCGAGACTAAAGTCTGGTTTAAATACCCAGGGGTGTATCCTCGGCTTAAAATCTGTATGGAAACCCCATAGATTGAGACAGCTTGTCTGCGCCTCAGTCCTGGATACTGAACCAACCTAGTATATCGCCCTATTGGTAAGATAGGGAAAACTGCAAGCATAGTCATTGCATCATAGTGCATTGTCATGCATTTGCATTGTAGATTGCATGTATTCACTGCATCGCCTTCCGCCTATGGCAGACGGCTACGGCTCTATCTCCGGTCCTTGGTGCTGGTACGAGCGACTTCCTACAGAGGTCCGCGCTTTGGTGGATGTTGCCGGCTTCGGCCCCTTTTGTTCCGGACTCATAGAGATGAGGGCTGAGTCTTTACTTTACGGGGCCCTGGTAGAGAGATGGTGGGACACCACCAGCTCATTTCACTTCTCTTCTACCAGGGAGATGACACTAACCCCGTATGATTTCTCGATGCTGACCGGTCTGCGGGTTGGGGTCGGCGGCCCCATCCCTTTTGATCCAGATATGACTGAGTGGAGAGATGCACAGCTCCAGCTGCTCGGAGCGATTCCAGACACCACTAGCCATGGAATGGTGCGCTACAGCTGGTTTTATGACCATTTCTCTAGTACACAGCTGGCTACTGCAGATGAGGTTGCTCAGTACACTCGTGGCTTTCTGACATATCTCCTCGGTACTACCTTCTTCGCAAACAAAGAGAATACCATAGGATTGTACATCCTCGGGGCGCTGGTACATCTTCCACAGATATTGGATTATGATTGGGGCGGCGTAGGTTTAGCCACCTTGTACTGTTATATGAGCTCCGTTTCCCGCTGTAAGGCGGATTCATTTGGCGGCTACTGGAGGGTTTGGGAGGTACATCTTACATTCACCTTTCTAATGCACTTTATATCTTATTCACTATTGCATTTCTTATTCATTTGATCTATTTTCTCATGGCATCTATCTGTCTTTGATTTACAGCTTTGGGTCTACACCTACTTTACTTCATTAGCTCCAGTTCCAGTGAGGCCAATCGAGTTATCCGTACCACGCTCTCGGTACTACAACTCACGATTCGAGCGCCGCCTCCTTGTGGATTGCAATTTTCCATATTTTCGCTGTTTCTTCGACACTATCACAGCGGATCAGGTGTGGCACCATTTCTCACATTACATGGTCATTCTTATACTGTTATACGGTCGCATTGTACCACATTGCCATTCTCACATTGCACTACCTTTGCCACTGCACTGACATTCTCTCACCACATTGCACTGAGTTTGACATTGCACTGCCATTCTGACACTATACTCATTCTAACACTGACACTGTACTGCCATTCTGACACTACACTGATTTTCTCAACACACTACACTGTCATTCTAACATTATGTAGACACCCCATTTTTGACCGTCCTCAAGACTTCCCCATTTTGACCGTACTCAAGACTTGGACGTCACCGTTTGAACACTCGGTGATTATCCATGTTTGTGTTTGTTCGGAGTTCCCGGAGGTCTCGACTCCCGTGCCTTGCCTCAGGATTTCCGAACTCGACCGTTTAGTGTCTGGTTTTGCACCAAACACTTGCATCTTGCCCTTGAGAGGCAGGGTGGGGCTTGTAGACCATCCCCACCCAACACCGGCAGTGGCTAGAGGCCACCGGCTGGTGTTTGCTGCCACCGGCAATTTATATTGCCGGCCGGCACTTTTTGTTGCCGATCAGCACTTTTTAGTGCCGGCCGGCACTCTTTTTGGCCAAGATGGCATTTTTGGCCGGCCGATTGCGGTCCATCTGCTTTTGCAGATATTTTTAGACAGCTGTCTTGCTTTTGCTCCCCTCCATACACGTGTATGGAGGGATCTCCCTCTTCTAAAGCTTGTCTTGTAAGCTTTACAAGACATATAGAGAGAGGATCTCTGTGAAGCTTACAAGACAAGCTTTACAAGAGGGAGATCGCTCCATACACGTGTATGGAGGGATGGCCCTCTAGTTTTGCTTAACTTGTAAATTTTGCAAGTTTGGTGATAGGGATAGATAGAGGCTCTCTCTTGGGGCTAAGGGGAGAGACTTTAGACATTTTAGAGAGGGAAAAACACAAAGAGAAGCTCTAGTTTTTGGGTTTGAGTTGCATACATATCCTATCTCTATATTTACTCTTGTGTGTGTTTTAGTCCATACTATTGCACACAAGCACCTAGTGTTTCAACTTCCTCTTGGAGCTGAGGTTCTAAAGGGTTTGTTTTGAAGTTTTGGTGTTAGATTAAAGCTAAAGGAGGCCATTGGAGCACCATTTGTGAAGAGGTCTACAAGGGTGAGAACCTAGTATCATTTTTTCCCATTTTTGCATTGATTTTCTACTTGTCTTAGAGCTGTTTTTGTGCTTGTTGTATAACATAAAAAAGTTCTGTTTTTAGGCCCTCTTTATTGTTTATTAAGAGTGTTTTGTTGTTTGAGGGTAGTTGACCACCCTTTGGCCTTAAAAGGCCTCATTTTGAGTCATTTTGTGCTAGCTCCGGGATTTTGGTGTTGAGGTCTCTTCACCACTGAAATCTTAAGGGATTTCAAAGGTGAAGATGATGCTTTGAAGTCCCAAGAAGGAGAGGGCCACCCCCTCTCCTTGTTGTCCTTGAAAAGGGCATATTTTGGCCTCTTGAGAGAGCATTATGCTTGAGTGTGTGTTGAGCATGTTTGCTCTGTTTTTCAGGTTTATATATCCATAATATAACATGATTTCAAGTTGGTTTTGGTACTCCATGCATGCTTAGCATAGCTGCCTTGTAATGCCATGTTTATGCCTTAATGTGCCTTAGGTTGTTAGCTTTTGTGGGAGCATGTTTTAGGCTTAGTCTTGTGAAGATTATGTGCTTATTTTGCCATGTTCTAGGTCTGTCCATAAGTGTTTGGGTTGATTTTGGCATGCTTGATATAGCTTCTTTGTATTTAGGCTTGTTGGCCTTGAGTATGTGCATGTGTAGCATGACATCTTTGCATCGAATTGGTGATTTGGGGTCCCTCCACTTGTTATTTCAGTCCCATTTCCATGCTTGTTTGATTGCCTTGCATGCCTCTTTAATGCTTTGGAAGCTTGTGTAGCAATGCTCCATGTTTTGGTGTCTATGTATGCCTTTGTATTTGAGCCACTTAGATGCCATCTAAGGAGTTCTTTGGCCTTGTTTTGACATGCTAAAAATCTGTTTTAGTAGTTTAATGCATGCCATGTTTGTTGTGATAAACATGCTTCAAAGCTTCATGACTTGCTTCAAGTACTTGGACCATGCTTGCATGCACTTACTTGTCTTGTTTAATGTGATTTGGCATCATTTTATAACATGATTTCAGAGCTCGCATTGCATGCCAATTGTTCATGATTGCCTCTTTCAAGTGTGCTTGAATGTTGCTTGCTTTGTGCCTAAGTGTTGGGTCTTAACATGTGTATGTGTGCATGTGTGCCATGCCAATTGTTCATGATTGCCTCTTTCAAATGTGCTTGAATGTTGCTTGCTTTGTGCCTAAGTGTTGGGCCTTAACATGTGTATGTGTGGATGTATGTTTAGCCTTCATTTTTGGGCATTATGGCTACTGTTTTGGGACTTCTTAGAGCTGTCTAATCCATGTATAAGTCCATCTTTCCATTAGTTTGCATTGCCATATGTTTGCTTGTATGCTTGCATAAGCTTGTCACCATGCCATGTTGCATTGCATTTTGCATGCATTCCTTGCCCCTTGATTTGGTGATAGGGGTTAGGACTTTGATTTGATTTGGTTTGCATTTCATTTGAAATCAAAGTTGCATACTTGGTTCTTTGGGCCATCATGCATGGAAATGCGTGATTGGTGGTCCGAGAATCGAGGCACATGCCCCTTTGAGTCATTATCATGATAAGGGACATGGTTGGTGCATATATGCCTTGAATTGTGCTGCCATGCTTTGTCTTGGCCTCTGTTGCTGTGAGTTGCAGGTTCTGCAGGCTTTCTTTGCCGACCGGCAGTGTAAGTGCCGGCCGGCAATCTTTTCTCTGCCGACAACTCCATTTTGTGCCGATGGCCACACACCAGTGCCGGAGTTGCAGGTTCTGCAGACTTTCTTTGCCGACCGGCAGTGTAAGGTGCCGGCCGGCAATCAATCCTCTGCCGATGGCTTCAGTTTGTGCCGATGGCCACATACCACTGCCGGTGGTAATTCCACTCAGCCGGTGGTACTCCCCAGTGTCCAAGGATGTAATCCTGAGGTCTTGACAGCCTCCAGAGGAGTGAAGGAAGGAAAACAGAGGCAGCCTATGCATGGCGGCGCGTTTCCCGAGGCAATTTTCCTGTTTTCATTAATTTATTTAATTTGTTAATTAAATTAATTAATTTGTAATATTAATTAGCTTGCGTAGTTAATTAATTTGTAATATTTATTTGGTCCCTCCGAGCGAGGGCGAATCTGTAATAAGTGTGCGTGGGTGGTGTGTATGTCTTCCAATCCCCACTTCTTTCTTCCCTTTTACTTACCTGCTTTGATGGTTAGTATTAGGGCACGTTTAATTTAGCATACCTTATGCTATGCATGCGTACATCCATACATTTGTATTGCATACATTAGGCTCGGTACATCATGCTAACTACATTTGTACTTCAAAATTCTAAACTGAATATGTGATAGTTCTGCATTTCTCACATGCCATGTTTAGGATAGCCGAGCCTATTCTAGCAACACTTTGTATGCGATGCATTAGGCACTTAACATGGACTTGGATCATGCATGTTTGCTAACGAGTTCTTTGTTTTGGCACGGAGTACGATGTAAGTATTTCCGCTTTAGCATATCGCATTGCATGGAATGTTACCATGACAGCATGCTTAAATTGATTTTATACCTATCTTAGAGCTGTTTTTGTGCTTATTGTATAACATAAAAAAGTTCTATTTTTAGGCCCTCTTTATTGTTTATTAAGAGTGCT